ATGAATGTTCTCCAAAAATATTGATCAGAGTCAAGTTTCCAAGTCCAATGACAAAGGTTGCCAACTCATTGTCACGATTTTTGGATTTGTTACTGAGTTCTGGGGCCCTAAGGCCTTCTGTGTCCACAACAAGCACAAAGTCAAAGCCCAGTTCCTCTGTGAAAGTGTCCTCAACCTTCAGGAGCTGCATGTAAGCCCCCCGGGTACACCTCCCAGCACTGACGGTGAACTGCAGCCCAAAAAGTGCATTCAGCAGAGTGGACTTCCCTGAGCTCTGTAGGCCAAGGACAGAGAGAACAAACAGCCGTTTGTTTCCAAGTTTCTCAGAGACCTTGTCAAAAAGAGCTGCCACCCACTTTAGAGGCACATATGAAGCATCCCCGTCCATCAGCTCAATGGGAACACCAGATATCATCAGATCTGCAGCAATCTGGGGGAGGGAGAGATAAAGGGTATTTTTAGTGGGGGAAGCTTCTTCCAGAGCTTCATAGATCTGGCCAACTTCTCTTAGAAATTGGTCAATTCCCAATGTACAGTTATTAATCTGTGTAGAGGTAGCTTCCATCTCTCTTTGCCAGCGTTGGAGGTCAGGGCTCTTTGGTGCCTTTTGCTTTTCTGTTTGTATCCGTGACCACAAAATGTTTCTCTTCTCATTCAGTTTTTCCAAGTGTCCTGCAGTCAGGTTGTCCAAAAACACACTCAGCCATTGCAAAAAGTAGTGTGTGGATGGAGTTTCTGAATGATTTTGGAGAATGTCAAGGACAGAATGCATCAAGTCATTGAGAGGAAAGGCTCTACTCAACTGTTGATCCCGTATTCTTCGTTTTTCTGTCTCAATCTCACTCTTGTGTTGTTCAATGCTTCGATTCCCTTTTTCTCTTAGATGATAGAGTTCTTTGTCCTTTTTACACCAAAGATGCCACAGGTGTCCCTGAAGGGGCAGTAACTTTTCCTTCACCTGAGATATATTTACTTCTTTCAGTAGGGCCATTAGGACATTTGCCTTGTCTTTGGCATCCTTGCACTCTCTCTGGTCTTCGTCAATAAGGAATCCTTGCTTGCGAGCAGTTGAGGCACAGTCCTGTAAGCTGTGAGGAGTGTCTGAGGGCTTCAGTAAACGTCTAATTGTACTAACAAGCTCCTCTGTTAATTCTGCTTCATTTCTGTTCCTGAGACCAATGATCACTTTTTGTTTAGAATTACTGGTCATGTTATTTTCTTTATTATCAAGTAAACAAATCAAAGGTCTTGGAGACTGACTCAGATCAGAAACAATTTTTCTGTTTTCTTTATTGTCGTCAGAAGTTGACATGAGAACAACAATGAGAGAAGAGACCTCCTGCAGAAAGGTAAGTTGCTTCTTATGTTCCTTCGCATCTCCATGAAGATTGGTGAAGGTCAAGCAGTTGTCAAATCTGTCCTCATCTTCTCCCCCAGGGCAGAACCAGCAGATTTCCACCACTCCCCCCATCAAGAGACAGTCTTTGGTGCTCCCTCTGCAATGTCGGTGGAAAAAGACATCATGTTTACGTTTACTGAGAAGACAGTTCATGATCTGAGATTTGGAAGCAGAGAAGCCATTTCCAACTCTTATAAAGGACACAATGGGGGTAGAGACTTGACACATCTGCTTATTCTTGTAATTGATCTTCTCCTCTCTTGGTGTTTTCCTTGCTTCCTGCCAGCTCCTTCTAATTTGACTGAGAGACCAGAGAGAGAATTCAATTTGAGAACTGCAGGGATTAGGTATGAGAAGAGGGAGTGCAAACTGGCAAATGGAAAGTTTGGACAAAATATACTGTCTGGCAAAATCATCTGCACAGTGAAGAATTGCCATCTGAATATCCATAGGGTGAATATGGGGCCTAGGATTAGTATCTGAAGGATTAGTATCACTGTCTTCAAATAAGTCTTCATATGGATCAAAAGCCTCATTTTCCTGATTTGAGGCACTTGGATAGACTTGATTCTGTGTGTTTTCATCATTTCTGAAGACTAGGTATCTCAGCCCATAATCCAGCACTTGTAGCTTCTGAAGGAAACATTGGTGAAGCTCACTTTCAGATCTGGGCTGGCTGTTGTACACAGAAGTCTTGTTGATCAGATGGAAGTGAGTTTTGCTCATCTTTTTTGGATAGAAATGTTCTAAGCCTAGATGCCGGAGTAACTCTAAGAAGGCTGTATCTTTAATGACTTCTCCTTTGATATCACCATTCTCATGTGGTTTATGAGGTTGTTTCCTTTCATGGAAAATACTTTGCAAGTTTTTACTTATATCATCCATTTGCAATGAAGAGATGGTGGCATCATAGTTACCATCAATTAGCAATCTCAAGTCTTTCTCTAGGCTTTCCCAATCATAATCTGCTCCTTGTTTGGAGAGGACATGGACAACTTCTTTTGACAAAGATTTTCCCATGTGATGTTTTATTAATGTCAAGCGTTGTGTTTTCTCCTCTGGAGAAACAGCTGTGACTCTAATAGTAGCTGTCAGACTTGTGAGCA